AACACATTTGAAACAAAAAGGAAGTGACACTCGCACTGAACTCGCCGCTCACTGGTCGTGAACAGGAAAAACCAGTAAATGTTTTGATAAACAAAAGAATCACACCTTCTTGTCCAAACGTCTATGAAGAGTATAGGTGATTATTGTTTTCTTGTGCCGACTAGAAGGGTGTAACATGTTTGTTGGTGTACAATATGCACACCGGAATGGCAAATAAAAGCCATGTGACTATATGAAAACCACTCTGGCAAAAACAAGTCTTCTGCAGAGGGAGCGGGCTCCGTCTATCCCATTCGAAATGCCAATGGCGCGGTGGGGCAGGAAAAAAAAACGAGTGTTCAGTGTTTTTTGTTTTGTTGGGGGGGGGGGGTGTTCACGGCGTATTGAGGAGCAGATGGGGGAGTGAGGCGTCTCATTGGTTGTTCTTGGCTTTGGCGTGTGTGAGGATGTGCGACTTGAGGTTGGTGGACTGCGCAAACTTCTTATTGCAGCCGTCAAAGGGGCACACGTACGGACGGTCGCCCGTGTGGATGCGCACGTGGGTGCGGAGGTTGAAGTCCAGCGAGAAGCGCTTGCCGCAGCCTTCGAAGGTGCACTGGGACACAAAAGACACACACACACACATAAGCAGGGTTCCTACAGGTCACTTCAAGTTAAATTTAACACATTTAAGAACAGTGTAAGACCTCGCCCTCCCATCAAAAAAAAAAAAAAAAAGGAAAAATCACAGCCATATTGGCAAAAAAATAAAATCCGAATTTGCATTAATTTATTTCTCCAATGTGGAAATGTGGAACATGTGCAGGATGTAAGAATGCAGCATATTGAAGAGGCTACTTACGCGACATCACCACACCGCAGACAATGGGCAGATTCAAAAATGTCGGCGATGGAGGGAGTTCGTTGCTTTGCACTCATCGAGGTTATGTGCTTGGACGACTTGGCATGGGACTCGAGCATTTTCATGCAAGTTTTACGCAGCTAAATTCTTTTCTTTGCACACGATGAAAAAGCCTCGAACACAGCTATCCACTGGTTTGAATCCAAGGCGAAAGAATTGTTTTCTCAACCGAGCTTTGTTGAGTTTACATTTCCCATTTCTCTAATAGGAAGTGTGTGGCTAGGTCAAGGGTTCAAGAAAAAAATAATGAATTCCTTTGTCGGAAAACATTTTATACTTAAAATGACTGCGGTCAATTGACTACAATTTTGCAGTGCAGTAGGGTGTACCCTGAATCTTTTTAAATATTGGACATGACAAGTACATATTCTGCCCAAACAGCGAGAGACACAATATGTAAATGCTGAAAACCTGTTAACCCTTGTCTAATGGTTCCATTAAATCACTTTACCTCACACATTTTATCACGCAGCCTGATAGGTACTAATTTGCCGGCTTCAAGTGTATCTCGAGCCTGATAATAGTACGTCATTTTCAGATCTTTAAAGGCTCACTTGGAAGGGCTTCTCCCCCGTGTGGACGAGCTGGTGTCGCTTGAGCTTGGAGCTCTCCACGAAGGCTTTGCCGCACTCAGCGCAGACGTGGACGCGGGGGCCATGGGTGTGCAGGTGCTTCCTCATGGCGGAGTTGTCCCTGAACATCTTTGTGCAGCCCTGGTGAGGGAAACAAGCGCGGGTGCACGCACACACACATAAAAAGAGAGCGCGAGATTGAGAGAAAAATTCTTTAAAAATCAATTAAGCGACCACCCACTATAAATAAATACATCTTTTTTTTTTTTTTTTATTATTTGAGCCACAAAGAACCGTGGTATTGGATAATCAAACAGGAATATTCCGTGCTGTTAGGCACCGCCTCTGGAGGTCAGCAGGGATGAAATTGAACTTACTTTATGAGGGCACGCTATCGTCCTGGGAGCGTCGTCCTCTTTGATTTTCCTGGGTTTCATCCTGTTTGGGCCAAAAAAACACTACATTTAGCAGATGATGGAACTGAATAACAGTACTTTGGGGGAGAGGATTTTCATTATTAATAACAACTTGTCCAAGAGGTTTCTACCTGGCAAACTCGGCCAGTTGCTTGGGGTCTGAGAGGTCAATGCCTGGGATGCCGCCCGGGGGGAGCTTCTTGCCAGTCATGTACTCCGAGTAGTCGGGCGGGGAGTTGTCACCCACAATTTGCTCCTCCACGACCGACTCGTGGTCAATGTCTTTATGGTTGTCTAGAAATACATTACAGAACTGAACCGAACACACAATGGCATGTGCCTGCAGGCAAGTCTGTGGGAAACGGCTGCATTGAACAACATCACTTAAGATTTTTTTTGTTTTTTTTTTTTTAAATGTAAAGCCTCCCAAATAGATTTGGATAGGCATTAAAAGTTTGGGAAATTTTCACACAGAAAGATGAGAGCGGGGCTGATTGCTACAACTACAAAGCTTTCATGTTGTCAAAGTGGGGAAACAGTGCACAGCGATATCAAAACATCTAATGTACACTGGGATACACCAACAGTTACTTTACCTGTCATCCTTGTGCCTCGGACCCATCAACCCATGCTTCATCCAACCGAATGGCATTTTCCCATTGAATGTATATTTATTCATCTTTTGGCTATTTGTTTTTCAAAATAGTTTTATTAATAAATGGAGAAAGGTTCTGAGAAATGTTGCAATAATTTCATGTGATTGAAAGGAAAAACATGATCTTCTTCCTTTCCTCATGGCTTGTCCCATTAGGGGTCGCCACAGATTCCCATCCTTATCCACCGCAGTTTATCTTCTGCATTCCTCAACTGTAACACTGATATCAACCTCTCTGGTCTTGGCCTTGATCCTTTTCTGGCAGTTTCATCCACATCACCCTTCTACCATCTAAACTTCTCTCTCTTAACTTTTTCCCCAAAACATCTAACCTTGGCTGTCGCTCTCATTTCCATCACTACCAGCTGTTTCCTGTCCTTTAGGGTGACTGTCTCCAATTTATTTTCATCAGGAATTACTCAATTGTATCTATATTGAGATATAAAATTGTGTTTCTACATTCATCAGAACACTATGCACTATGAAGTGTTTTTAATATATCATGACTTAAAATGATTTTAACGACAACAACGACATAGTATGATCATTTGTATTTCCTCATTCCATCACCCAACGAGAATTGATAAGCAAATAGATAACCAAGTGTTGCTAATTTAGTTGGAATTGCTCAATTTGTATCAATTCCTATCCCTGAACGTGAAAGAACAAATTTCTCAAATCCAATTTCACTTCATTCATACACAGAATAGCTTCCTGCAAGTATATCAGTTCAGCGGGCTTTTCATACTTTTAGTAACATTTTGTAATATGAATGGGGTGAGCATTGGCTTACTAAGAGTTTGGAAACACTGCAGTGGATGTCTAAAAATAAACAGTTTAGTGCTCTTAAACCTATCCTTATGCATAAAAGACATGTTTTGGCCTCTACGTAACTACCAAAGCAATAAACAGACTTTAAGAAAATAACTACGTGTGGAACGCATTGCTGACGCTACACAAGGCTTGGCTATTCGAGGCCTGCTACTTCCTTCGAAGCAGCAAACTGCTAACCGCGCTTTGAAGTTAGCCATTAGCTAACGAAAAATATTTTGCCCCAGAATGGCCCAAAAAGGCGATTAAGTCAACTTACGTCGTGCTAACATTTGCGCGGCGAGGAGTTAAGAGTTTTTGTTAACCCAAATCCGGGCAGAATGTGATATTTAGTCCGGTTCGGTGGGGTACCACGGGACCATAGGCATGACAATGTTTGGGCCCGCCACAGTCGCCATTTTTTTCGGGGGCCGCCGCCATACTTCTCTGGACTCGGGGAATATGGCGGCGCCCAGTAACACTTAAAACATGGCTTCCCGTCAAAACAAAAACATTTGGTCGAAGTTTCCGCGTCGAACCAAAAGTCATGTGCGGCTTCGCTCGCCACTTTGCGACGGGACGGAACACTCCAGGAACTAGTCGGGTGCAGCAGCAGGACAACGCCCTGGCAAAGAAGGCCTCGTGTAGCCGAGATGTGACAGCCGTGGCGGGGCTAACAAACAAGACTTACCCGACGCCCACATCGTCACGGAGAATTCCCCCTCCAGAGTTTTTATCTGCACTTGCTTCTGTTCCCATTTCCTCGCTCCTGTCTCCACGCCGCTCAAATAGCTCTTTTTCCCCGCTTTCTTCCCGCCCGAGCCACCGCTGCCGCCTCCTCGTTTCACCCGACCCAAGGAGCTCTTCCCGGCGACAGTCACTAACGTCTGTTCGATGTACTCGTCCTCCACCCCGGGGGCTGGCACCGGGATGAGAATCTGGTCCTCGAAGCCCCCGCCGCCGTCATCCGTATGCAGGTCAGAATCATCCCCGCCGACTACCTCCTCGCGTGTCTGGACTAGGATAACCTCTGGATGGTGGTGGTGGTGGTACTGGTGGTGGTGGAGGGACCCCGGTTCGTCGTCCAGCGGCTGGAGCGCGATCATGGGCTGTACATCGTCGTTGTCTTCGTCGTCGTCCTCGCCTCCGACCACCGTGGTCTCGATGGTTTCCACCGGGATGGTCTCCACTTCTATCTCGTGGAGCTCCACAATCTCGGCCGGCATTTCCGTGCCGTCCGACCCGATGTACAGAGTTTCTCCGGATGCCATGTCGAAGTCCTCCAGCTTGCCTGTCTCATTCACGCCGCGTTTATGTACCAAATTCCGGGCTTTCGGGACCCGCCGCGTTACCTCTCACACGCCCCCCCAGCTCCGGTTCTCGCTCAGGCCGACCTCGCTGCTTCTTCTTCGGCTCCAACTCTCGCCACTCTTCCGTCCCGCACCAGATCTCGTCACCGCTTTGCGACTACGTAAGGAAATATCGCGAGACCTGGATAGCGATGCGGAAGTCCCCCCCCCCCAAAAAAAATCTAAAATGCGATGGCATGATTCTTAAAAATCGTATTTATTCATATGCATACATGGGAAACATCACGAGACTTGAATAGCCAGACAGACGTTGCCCGAAATGTTTTTTTTTGGGCGGGGGGGGGGGGTTCTATTTTGGAGGGGGGGAAAAAGACCAGGTTTTGTATTTTATACATCCAGGCTTGTTTTTGTCTATGTGCAACCCATATAAAAAATGCACAATTTGGGTTGGCATCAAGGCAATGAAAGAAATACTGTTTTATAAAAGACTCCCACATTAAGGAAAAGAATCAGCCTTATTTATCCAAGATGTTCACAGTTTTATTTGAATTCATTTCAAAACAGTGCATTTCTTCTTTTTTCTTCTGTTTTTCAACAAGGAAGCACTTTGTCATCATAAAGAGAACAGAATAAACAATACATGGCAGCCAATAAACGTTTTTAAAATTATTATTATTAACATGATCACAAATATTCTGGGGTGTTGTGTTTTTTTAAAGAGTATTGCAGTGACTGTTGTTGCTCAAAAGTGTCATTTTGCTGTTAAAAAAAGGAAATAAATTCATTTAAAAATATTAATCTAAAAGCAAATTAATAAAAACGTCCAAAATTACCTTTACTATCATTCATCCATTACCAGAACCGCTTATCCTCATGAGGGTTGTGGGTGTGTTGGGGCCTATCCCAGCTGTCTTTGGGCATATTCTTTTTCTAAACTAAAATCCTCTAGTAAGAAGTATGGTGAGGGTAAAAATATTAACTCCTGTGGACCATATAAGTAATTAAATATGACTTTTCTTTCTCTCCAAAAATTTGCATATCAGCTTCACTTTGTACTGACCACAAGTAGTTTCCTGGCGACAAGTCCAGTGTCGCCTGCCTCTCTCCTAAATCAACTGGAATAGGTTATTGCTCCAGTCCCTATTGAGGATAAATGCTATAGAAAACGAATGCAGGATTACCTTTATTATTGTATTCATATTCGTTTAGTTGACCCACATTTTTACTGACTAATACCCTCTAATAAGATACCAATAATGAAGAATAAGATAGTAAGGGTAATGATGATTTGAAAAAAATTGTGTTGAATAAACTCCTGGACACCATGTAACTATTTGAATATAGAGTTTTTTTTCATGTTTTTCAGGCCAAAGATAGGGGGGGGGGAAAGAGACAAATGTAAAGAATTTACTGTCTCTTCACACACATGCACACACGCGCGCGCGCACACACACACACACACACACACACACACACGCACACACGCACACAAACACACGCTTACAGCACCTCCCCTCAAGTCAATGCATGCCGCAAAAACATGGCGGCTACGGCGGCTCTTCAACACCATAATGGACGGCACGGTTTAGGCCCAACTCCTTCTCCATCTCCTCGGACAGGTGAGATTTATGCTGTGCTCACTCGAATGAGTTCGTGTCTAATGGCTGTGGGGAATCAATCAATCAATCAATCAATAAATAAAAAGCAGCTCCATGCTATATGCTGCCAATGTGGAGTAAACATTTTTGACTGGGCTATGTTGTTGAACATAATTGATAAAAGACATTCACATGTATTGGTAAAATATAAGCTAAATAGCTCTCACCGTCAATAATTTCTTCCTTCACTTTGTGCAACTCGCGGAACACTTCTTCCAAGATTTCCTAAAGGAACACACGTCAGTCTTTTGTAAAGCAAATAAAATGTCTTTTTAATTGTAATCTTTAATTGTAAAGAGACAGCGTACCTGTTTCATTCTGTCCATGTCTAACGCATCTGCGTCCGTGCCGCTCCCCGCAAGCCGTATCCTAAGAGGTTGTCATTAAAGCAAATATTATAAATATTTTCGACGTGTTTCACGATCGTAATAAAAAGAAAAATTATGTCACCTTGAAGCCATGGCCCTGTCCGCAGAGTTGGCCCTGTCCCATGGCTTTTTTGCACCATCTGTACAAAGAAGATGCATATACAGTGATCTGCGTGAAAATAACAGCAAAAAGCATCTGACATCTCTCAAATAATGAATTAAAATGCAATCATGCGTCAAGATCTTGATGTGATGCTAATGCTCGCTTACCTGTGGCGTTCTGACCCCCCCTAGTGCTGGGGGAAGTAGAATTTGGCTCATCCTGAGGGAAGACACACACGTCACAGTATTTTTTAAAAGTTGTTAAACATCACAGTGACAATTCTTGCATAATGTAAGACAATTTTTATCAGCGGATGAGCCACACACTCACACTTTGGTTGTCGTCTGGCTTCTCTGACGCTGCTTTTCTTCTGGGAGCAAAAGAAGGCGTCATGTTAGGAAAGTTTTGAATAAAAAAAATATTAAAAAGTATGGAAGCAAAACAAAAATAAAGTTGTGTGGATAAGCTGAGACCATCTCCATGTAGTATATTTTGTGTCTGTATTACACTGCCCCCAGGTGGTCACGGTTCAGACACCAGAAGCAAGCACATCGTCCATTAAAATGAAAAAAAAGATGTGCCAAGAATATTTACATTTACATTTTACTTCTCATGACTCTGTGTTTCATTAAATTACTATTTACTAAATTACTTAATAAATAAGGAGGTGATATCACACCAGCATGAATCATAAGTGGCAACTCAAACTTCAAACCTCACTACAAGGCAACCGAGGTGGAAAAAAGGTATCAATAACATTAAAAAGCCCTTTTTCTGTCTGACCTTCGGGCCAAAAGAGCGTTCATCTCCTCCATCAGTCCTCCGTTACCGCCACTCGTCCGGTTTACTTCACTGTTTTTGCCGTTGGACGAACTTGACGAGCTGGACAAGCTCTCCTCCGGCTGGTGAGAGTAAAGCATCATTGTTAAAACATTAAATTAAAAAGCTGAAAATGGAACATATGCCATAGAGTGGAGAGAAAGCAAAAACAGAAAGACCAAGACATTTGAAAAGTTGTATAAAATGTTTTGTTTTTTTTAAACTGTCCCTTTCTTATAGGGACGTGAAAGGTGGAAAAAGATTTGGAGTTATTCCTCTTAGTCTAATTTTCAATTAAAAATGGCATTTGAACAGAGGTATGTAGACTTTTACATCCATGCATAGTTTAATTAATGATAAAAAATTTTAAGACATAATAAAAAACAGTAATTAAATTATAATCATTAAGATTGGGGGTCCTCACTCTTTGTACCCGCCGCAGCTTGGCGCCGGCAATCATGGCAGCGAGCCCTGTCTGGGCTGTCGGCTCCTCTCCGTGGCTGGCTAGCGGGGGAGGCAGCGGCGGAGGCGGGGCTCCGGCAGAGGGTGGCGGAGGTCCAGGAGGTGGTGGTGGAGGTGGAGGCCCCGCTGCCAAGCACGCAGGAGGAGGTATGACCGGGGGCGCCACCGAGAGCACGGCGGGGTGGCCTTGGAAAGGAGAACCTGGATGGAGGAAGAAGAGCAAGCGGGAGTTCCCGAGCTGCCATTTTGGTCTAATATGATATCACTGTGTGACTTCACAACCTGAGTTGGAGGAGCGTCGCTCCCGCTCCATGTGGGTCTGTATCTGCTGCTGCTGCTCCATCATCTGCCTGCAGGAACTCACGCGGTAGATACAATACTCTTCATACAGCTAAGATATGGACAATACTACTAGGACAATACAATAAGTAAAATGTGAAGAAAATGAAAGGATCTGACACATTTTCCTGAGGAACTCCTCCCAAAATGTTTGTCAGAGTAGAATTTGGATGGCCGATTAATCGACTGATTCATTTAAATGTTATTATCTTTGTCTTATGTTGTAATGTGTTAATTTGTTTAAAAAAAAAAAATAGAAAGAATCGCTCCATTTTAATAGAACTACGATGAGCCGATTAATCAGTGGAGACAGAGCATATATATCACAAAAACTAATCACCTTGCTCTCTGGGCTTCCATCTCTTCTGAGCTTGGTCCATTTTGGACTTGTCGCTGCACAGCTGGACCTGCGTAGGAAAAGAGGAGTGAGAAAGCAGCTAAGATGAAATGGGGGAGAAACATCTCCAACAAGCAATATAAAGTCAATTAAGCATAAAACCAAGGGCACTTAAACACACGTTGACACAAAAATCAACACTCACTTTCATTCTTACAATGCTTGAATGCAGAGATAATCTAGCTTCATGCAAGTAACGCAGATGGCGAGATTGGACCAAAAACACTCGTATTGTAATCTACTTTTCCCATTGAAATTAATAGAAATGCCAATGTCACTCGATCAAACAATATCACGCATAAGACACCAAACGAGATATACAAGAGTGCACCTACATGACATGCCGAAGAAGAGGAAGCGACTGTAACAGACACACAAGCACTGACACAGCCACTCGCTGCTGCCTACCATAGCTAGACTTTGCCTGCCCTTCCACCTCCTCCATCATCATCGCCTCACTTTAAGCCCCTCCCCCACTTACCAACTAGCTACAGATCATCTGTCATGTAACGCAAACCTCCAAGGCGGCACAAGTGCAGCGAGCACCCCGGAGTCTTGTTTCCATTACAATCGACGCTATGAGTGAGGAGGTGATGCGTTTACATGAGAGGCAGGGAGGCTACTGCCCCACCAGGCGGCAATTTCCCCTCATAAGACCTTAGTTCAATGTGCAAAGAAGTTAATGTCACAGTTTTACCGTTTTTAGAGTTGATCACATTTACTCAATCACTGCCTGTTCAGTCGAATACGGGTCCAGAAACTACGGTTTTGGACCAATAAGTGGAGAAAACAAGCTCATGGTAACGTGACTTCTGAGCTTTGTCATGTTGCATGTGGAATCCGTCAGGGATCGGTACTCGGCCCCCGATTGTTTAGTTAAATATAACATCAGTTTTCAATGCATCATGATACCCAATTATATATATCCCCTTAGCAATCACAAATTGCTGTGGATGCCTTCATTTTTTGCTTCTTAACCCTAATAAAACCGAGAGGTTGATCATTGATCATGATATTACATTTTTTCTGGCATACCTCACATTTCTTCATTTGTTCAACTGACAAGCGGGTTCATTGTAATCAGAGTAATCTCCAGCCAGACTGATTCCCCCCTCTTATTTTTTTAAAAGAGATATTAAATCTGGTCTTTTCAGGTTTCAAAGACAAGACGATTATGGGCCTATGGGTACATTTATTTGGAGAGGGGGGAGGGGGAAAGGGAAAAAGCTTGTATAATTACGTGCTTGGCTCCAAGGTCACGTTTTTACAAACGGCCTTGAATGTTCCACCTGTTTACTACTGGAGTGATATAGTGAAGCAAATTTCTTAAATTGACTGAAGAAACTACTTTTTTTTAATTCATTCATCTCATGAAATAATTGTTGATCCATTTATTGTAAATAATCCCCAAAATATTCCTGAGTATGCTGCTCTGTTGGGGCGAAAAACATCTTAGAACAGCGGTACTATTTAGAATACGGCAAGATGCTCTTTGGATGGTGACCCACCTCCGTCTTGGGCACTGAGCACGCTGAGGGCGAAAAGCATAGCGTTGGAGAAGGTGGTGGCCTCCTCCTTGCTGGCGAAGTTGAGGCCGTACACCTGCCGGGCGTCCCTCCATTGGTGGAAGGTTGGCGTGGCCTGGTTATACTTCAGCCCCTTCACGATGGAGTAGTTGATGACCACCTGCGCACGCGTGAGGAGACATGTCATCCATCATACATTTGAGTGTGTGTGTGTGTGTGTGTGTGTGTGTGTGTGTGTGTGTGTGTGTGTGTGTGTGTGTGTGTGTGTGTGTGGATACCCAGATGACCACGTTATGCATGTATGTCATTTACATAATAGTATGCGTGTCGGTAAAGGCCTAGACAGGTGATTGGGTTCTCTGTGTGCATCAATGTTGACAGACGGTTGATGCATGACACACCTGCTGATCCTGCAGCTTGACACCCACCACCCTGAAGGTATTGCAGGGGGTGTTGTGGTAGATGTTGATGCGGCTGAAGCCCTGTTGGCCCGGCTTAATGGGAACCCACTTCTTGCTGGTGTCGTCGTAGACCATGACGGAGGCCCTCGCCTGGCAGATGCTCTGCTCACTGGTGGGTGGGCGGGGTGAGGATCGGGGAGGAAAAAAAAACAAACCAATTAGGAGACAAGATGAAATGTGCAACCTTGGACATTTCCTCTTATACACTAGCGTCACGCTGCTGCTTTGCACCTGAAAAGGAAGCTCTGAGCTAACCGAAACCTGTTTGTTTCCAGCCTGCCCGGTATGCAGTTTTCATTTAATGAGCAAAAAACATCAGCCATTAAGTGACTTTTAGAGGCGCTGGGTGGTCGGCGTCTACTCCCAGCTTCCTGTGTTTGTGCTACACTACGCTAATTAGCTCCTGGTTACAAGACAAAATGAGCCATCGAGCACATGAAGCGGAGTAAAAAAAAGGCAAAAGAAAGTTTACCTCTTTCAGGATAATAATGTGACTTCATTAATTACAATGTAAAGAATGTAACAATTTTCAGAAAAAAAAACCATTCATTTCCTGTGGCACTTATCTTCACTTGGGTCAAGGGTAAACTGGAGCCAAAACCCCAGTTGACAATGGGTAAGAGACGGGGAACACGATGAACTGGACGCCAACCGTTTGCTGGGCAAATACCAAAAAATAAATAAATAAAATATTCACAATCACATTCATACTTAAGGGGCCCATTCCAACCCCAGATCTCAGACCTGTGAGCCGGATGTACTTACTGAGCGTGCTGTGCATAATAATAAAATTCCTTCCACTGTGCTTTCCCTCTCTCACTTTTCAAACTACCTTCCCTTCTTCCCTTTTCTGACGCAGCTTTTTTGTCTTTGCCTCTAGGGTTGGTGGTCTAATTTTAGCTTTGCAGAGGCCGAGACACAGATGGGACATCTTCTTCTTCTCTTCTTCCTCCTAGTTCATCTCATTTGCAAGTCAAAACTGTGTTTGCTGCTCCTTGTCTGTTTTTGTTCCACGCCTCCGATGTGATTCCATTTAATTAACGCATTTTTCCCCTTGCACGTGTGTCTTTTGTCAGCGGAACACATGGTACAGGTGTGTGCGTGCGTTAACTGTGTGTGGGATGACAGTAAAGGGAAAGTGGGGCGACAAAGCGTGTCACAGTGGGCAGAGACAAACAGTCAGATGGACAAAGCAGCCAGACACAACACTGGAGGCCACACACACACACACACGCACACACACATTGTCTCATTAAGAGCATCAGCAGCTGCTGGAAAAGCCACCAAATGCATTTGGTTTAAACAATTAGCGAAAAAAGGATGAAAGGGCAGGGAGTAAATGAACTGATACGTTAATGCACAGTTTATTCATTCTTGTTTGAGTGAATGCAATGGAGTGACTTCTGTATTGCGTAAAACGATGTTCGTCACTGCGGTTGGACAACTGCATTGCATCACACCGAGAGCCATTTCTAATATTTTGCTGACCTTCTGTGTGAATAAAAGTCATGTTATTAATAAATCCGCGCTTCTTCTCGCATGAGTGCTTTGTTGAGATTCCTGTCAGAATTCACTGCGGCAGCCTGGGTGACATTTAAAGTGTGTGCGTGTTTGTGACTTATTCATGTCTCGTGAAGAAACTATTCATATTTGATCCAAGCTGCACGGTTGCTCTGCTTGCGTATGAGTGCGTGTGCGTGTGTGTGTGTGTGTGTGTGTGTGTGTGAGAGTGTGTGTGTGTGTGTTTCCGTTTCCTCCCCTCCGATCCGCCTTCTTTGCCTCTCTTTTAGCACAGGCGTCTCATTTATTCATGCTGCTTTCAATGCCACTGGGACTCTCCGACGCCATTTTCTGCCAGTTGCCGAGAAGCCATGCTTAAAGTTTAACTGAGTCGACAAGTTAAAGAAAATAAATTAAACACATGGCTGCATTTTCTGGTGTGTGTGTGTGTGTGTGTGTGTGTATATGTTACAACCTTAAATGCAAAATGATGTGTAATGTAACTTGTCAAAACAAAGATGCTGTTGAGATGAGCTGGTGATTTTTCGACTTTATTTTTGTGACATGACACGACTCAAACATTTAATGTTCTTGTGAGGTGTCTTTTTGGATGTCTTTAGTTCTTTTTCTTGTTAATGCTTTCAAAAGTTGGACTTTTAATTATGTAAAGCACATTGAGTTACCTTGCGGATGAAATGTGCTATATCAATCAAGCTGCCTTTGTCTTGCCTTTATAAGGAGAAAGGACAGATCAGACTTGTAATTTTGGGGTATTTTCCCTTGAAGATGCATGCTTTAATTAAAAAAATATATATATTGTGCTGCTCATCATATAAAATTACGTCTCATCATACTATGACTCATAGTTTCAATAATAACACCTCTAATTGACCTAAAGATTCAAGAATGTTTTCCTCAAATTGACTTATATTTCAGCTGCGCCTCAGACTTTTGTCTTGGTTTGACATTATCCACAGAGTCCATTGAGACTTTGATCAATACAAAGATTGATTAATTTGTGTGGTTTTTTTTTTCTTCGTCTCTGCGTACACTACAGTTAGTGATTCTCACACAGTCCATCACAGTGTCGCAAAAGGATGAGCTAACAGAAGGTGTCTTTGTGGCGCTCGGCAGCTGTTCGGCGGTAACGTCCAAATCGTCACAACAGTCAACAAACTGTTTTGTGTTTTTGTCTTGCGTGAATACAGTATACTGTGTGTTTTACTGTAAATCCACATCCTGCATGGACTCCAGTGAGCTTTTCCGCCGCGCACATCTTCCTGCACTGAATTTAAAAGGAATAAGCTAGGAAACATTTTGAATGTCATATATGATATTTGGGATCATAGTTTATGGTATATTTATAGTTCAACTCTTGAGGGGTCGGGCTTAATGTACTTTAAACAACGTCTTTCTGTCCAAGTAATGGAACAAGTTTTATTTCCACCTTTAGCGCTTGCACAAAAGCAAACAGCATAACACAAACGTAATTAAATGTTGAACGCTACCGGCGATTGAACATGCTAAACACACACAGCAGCATTGTGCATGTGTGATGGCTATGAATACGTTTACGTCTCCTATTTCAGAAACAGAAGCCAGATCCTGTTTATGTTTCCCACAGTGGGAAAAAAAAAAATGCAAGCAGGAGATTTTGGAGAGGGAGGGGATCAGTCAGCATAAAGCTCATTTGGCCACTTGGAACATTGACAACAGTTTTAATGCTAATTCACATAATCCTTTTTTAAGGCCATGGAATTTGGTTGCGTGTCCAGCGCTGATGGCGACAATTATGGAAAAAGAAACCCCATCTTGCTCATATTTTCAAACACTGTCTACACGTGCTGCTTGACATTTAAAGGGAGCCCCCTCGAATTAAATACACACATACACACACACACACACACACACACACACACACACACACACACACACACACACACACACACTGATTATACTGTTACAAGCATGCACGAGCAGGCTAATCTGTTGGCATGACAACAGCCATAAAATATTGGCTCTGGCCTAGAAAATATGGCTGCCTGGTTGAGACGAAAAGATGAATGAGCAGTGGTGAGAAATAAATAAATAAATGTATTAGTGAAGAGGGGGTGTGGGGGGGGGGGAACCACACGGCAGTCTACTCATTAACAGAGCGAGCAACGATATGCCACATCCTGTCTGATCCTCGCATAATGATCATACTCAAATGTCTCATGAGGATGTGGCAGGCGTTTTCTGTGTGAAATATGGAATAAATATGGACAAAAGTGATGGGACACCCCCGAATGAATTAATTAATGTTATCAAAGGGAATCAAAATGCTTTTCGCTTTTTTTTTTTTTTTTTTTTTAAACAGAAGAAAAAGTAGTTAAATATAGCAACCAAATCATCAGTTTGGTAACAGTGACTCTTCTTTTGTAAATCGGTTCCTCTCTGTTCGCAACCATATTGTTAGTGTAAGCAATTCACATCAGGCGTCTGTCATTATCCAACTGTGATAAAACCACTGCAGTGGAGTCTATCTCGCCAGTGTCTCCATTTGGAGCTTAAGGACATTTGATTATTTCTGCTGACATGACCTTCAAGTCACCTTCGGGGGTTTTGTCCATGCAGCCCAAAGCCTGGAGAACATTTCTCATCATGACCACTTTAAACTCTGCTGCATTTAGACACGTGCTTGATAATGCCTCTATAAAAGCATCTCATTAAACTTTCACATCAACCTCCTATTCCACCCCCCAACCCCCCGAAGCTGCTATTGCTGTTACTGCTTTACATCTCTCAGCATCAGCAACCAGGAAACTCTTAAATGCTTTATGGGAACACATGCAGCGAAAAGAAGCCTCCCTCAACAGACGCTGAAGCCCTTCTCACGAAGAGATACAGTGAAAAATGGCCATAACACAAGGTCCTGAATTTATCCGACAGCGCCTTTTATAAAGAACCAAGCAAAAGCAAGACACTGATGTACACTGTGTGCATATTGACCAAGTGACAATTAGATGACATCAGTCTCTGACTGTGATAACTGTCAACTCAACAAGGCGAGAGAAATGAGTTTCTGTGTTAAACTTCACACCCATGTCTCGGCATTATTGCCGATACACACACTGGGGTTTGTTACACACCAAAAAATGTTGAGTTCATTTCATTCCTCCCTTAATGTTATAAGTTATTGATACAGAAGAGCAACAGGAAAAAAAAAAGACTCCAGACTTTCACAATGTACAAGACGGAAAATTGCTGGGTCGACTTCATTCCCACATACCCAATTCAGAAAGTATTAGTGTTATTTAAAAATGGGGAAAAAAAAATCATCGGTCAACTTTCATATTTGCGTCCCTTTTGCTGAGCTTTGCGGTTCTCCCCATTTCCCATCTTTCATTCTTCCACATCACCTTCCCTCTCACTTCAAAGTCTCACCTAACAAATCGCCCACATACAATTTCACTTCCTGAGCTGATCCGCATGGAGCTAATTTGCCAAACACTAATATGGCTAACCGTTTTTATGCTAATATTTCACGTGGGCGACATGGCCAGTTGAGATGGGGGTGGAGGGTGTATGCTTGGTATGGTGATCGCGATATAGTGAAGCATCACACCCCTGTAAACCTGTTCCAACAGTGGGGCACCGCTGCCAAAGGAAAAAGCTTCTTAGCCAAGCTGAGTCCCTTAAAGCTGCACTAATCGGAGCTGTTAGAGGAGTCGCGGTCAAACATATCACAATCTGTGAAGCCAGGACAACTGCTGCTTTAGGGTGTTGATGGTGTACCCCGCCTACTGCCAGAAGGCGGCTGGGATAGGCTCCAGCATGTCCGCAACCCTTGTGAGATTTTTCCATCAGACAGTCAAGTCACTTGTATCTCAAGCCACCACTGTACTAACTGAATGCAATGTCCCCGGCTATGGGAAAGGAGAGCCACTGCAACTTTCCGCCATTTGTTGAATGCCAGAGGACCGGTAAAACACAAACACAATGAGTACGCTTATGCAGCAGCTGTGAGCCACAGCTCACACCAAGACACTCACACACACCAATGTCACATCCCATCACACCAGGCCCCGCATCTTGTAAGCACATACAGACACTACACGGACACTATTCTCGAGACAACTTGTTATTTTTTTTTTGTGTGTTCAATGCAATGTGTCGGATGCATTTCAGTGTGTTTAAAGAATTTCAGAATATTAAATTTAAAAAAATGTAAATGAAGTCTATATCCCATATTTTTAAGTACTCCCCACAATAAACTGGGGTTCGCTGAAAGCAGATTCTGTACATTTATGCACAAAAAAAAAAAACCAACGTTACTTTTGTTTCTATCCACAAGCCTACAAGTTACAGCTTTGAAAGATTTGAATCAAATCACATTAAGTGACATCAGTAATTGTCAGCAACAGCGACCATATGTGAACTGGTTGGTTTTTGGCGCCTCAGGCAAACACGAGGGCAGCCTGTGGATGCAACACAGGAACACCAATGCCGGCATGGAGAACAAAGGATGCGTTCAGGGAGGCGCCTGAAAAAAAACGACCACGTTTGTGACCGGACCGCGGCTCTGTCAGCACCCCCACCGCTGAGCTCTCGCCCGGCTTGATGAGCCTTCACTGGCCATCAATGCTGCTCCCAGGGGCCAAATACACTAGCATGCATCCTCACCTCCTCCTGCCCCTCCTCCCATCTGTAAGGCCACAGTCGCCACTGAGGCAGAGCTGCACTTCTAGAGACAGAATCATACTTTCTTAAAAAAAAAAAAAAAAAAAATTAACTACCTGACTTTGAACTCGCTTAGCTGTGGTTGAGCCCCCGGCTCGGCGCAGTAGATCTGCGGGAAATAGAAGCGGTGCGACTGCAGGTTGATGTCCATGTCGGCGAAAAAAGAAACGCCAAATGCGCGCTTTAGAATCTCCTTTTTATGATCGGTCCAGGCTTCCGTAGAAGACGTCAGAGTTCAAGAGGCGACATAGCACCTGAAATGCTAGGAAGGCATCACCCCCCTCTCTCGCTCAAAAAAAAGGCCCACTAACCGATATCCCAACTCCTTGAACGAGCGAGATGACTCCACAATACACAAAGATGACAATGCCACCTCAGGAAATAAAAGGAAAAGCTGGACTCCAGTTAGCGCCAAGATCCGGACGAGAGTGAGCGAGGATGCTGGGTATTAAGAGAAAAAAGAGAGAGTGCGATGGAGAGAGATTCCTGGTGCTTTGAGGCGTTGCCCTCGCTCTGCCTCTCCTCTCGGTGTCTCATTGGATTACCTACTCCCTCTCCATCCATCTCTCCCTCCATTTCTCCCCTCCCAGCTGTGTCGAGAGCTGGTCCTGCCAGCCCTCCCTCCCTTCCTCTTTTCCCCCTCTCCTCCTCCATCACCCTCATCCACCTCCCCCTACCATCTGCTGGATTGGGCAAGCGTAAAACCACGTGGAGAGACAGACACAGAGCAAGAGGGGGAGAGAGAGAGAATTTAATTCATCTGATGGCTCACATCTCAGGACAAACACACGCACGCGCGTGCACACACACACACTCACACACACACACTCACACACGCACACACACACACACACACACACACTCACACACGCACACACTTTCACAGGTTGTTCATTAACAGAGTAATACAACGCAGCTCGAGAGAGACATTGACAGTGATGCACTGCGTTGAGTGGCTGTGAATAGAAGCACATAATGGGAAGAACAGCAGCACAACACGTTATTATTAATCGGTTCCTAAAATCGTTGGGCCAGTTGTCAGACTACAACAGGTTAATGAATATGTTATCATGTAAAAGAAGATCAATTTTACCCCATAATCGAGTACATTTACTCCAATGCCCATTCCTACCGCCAATAACCTTACACTTGCCTGGTACCCTCTGCAGTTGAGTAGTAGTGAGGTTTAAAAAAAAAAAAAAAAAGAACACCCAATATTGCTGGGTCACACTCTTCATCAAACCAGACTTCCAGTCATCCAAACTTTGAACCTTTGAACCTTTAATAATGATGTGCTTTCATCTTCTGCAGATGCATGCAGATTATAAATGATGTTCAGATCAAAAAAAAAAAAATCATAATCTCTGCAGCAATCATGGTTTGGAAGAAATAAATCCCTGGCATATTTACACTGCGCACTCTCTTTCTAGTACACAGCTCTCTGGCTTTGTCCTGCTGTATTTGGCCAGTGGGATTCTTTAATTGATCATCTGACATTGCTCTATTGTGCAACGATGGACATGCAGTTAAGTCCTAGTATACCCGGCAACACACGCAAGTATTCAAATAAACAGGTTCATGTTACTTTTTAATTCTTTGCTTGCAAATAGTTTTATCTAATTTACAGACACTGAATTTCTCCCCCGTGGCTTGGAGATCGGCTGGTTGAAGTAACACTTTTCCAAAACCTCTTTGCCCTTGTCCCACATTTAACCGGCAAATGGCTACAATTATTATTATTCATATGGGTCACAATGAACGCCATCAATACACATCACGCACAGCGGGTGACATTCGGTCCCGCTGATCGATCCTGCTATCGGAGAGCACGAGCGGGCTGGGCTTGGGTCACAATGAGAATGCTAAACAAGCAACCAGAGCAAAGTCAGTCAAGATAACAAGGATATCAATCATCAATGACAGCTGGGCAAATCCTTTAATAGATCTGACAGTCTGTTGCTGTGCATTAGGTCTCAGATTAGCACAATCTTATCCCAAAATTCATTTTTGATGCAAGATGTCGATGTACTGTTAAATTATGGGAAAGAAGAAAAAAATAGTACAGTATGGTAGAAATTTTGCTAAATGGTCACTTGGCACTACGGCAGTGATTCCCCGCCCCCACTTTTTCACCACCTGCACTAAAAAGCGTTTCAGGCCGTTTTATTTTTCAAATATACTAAATGCTGTATTAAATTGGCAATCTTTTTCTGACCTAAATTTACAATGGAACAGGGCGGTGGTACTGACTGGTTGGCTTAACCGGAAATGGTAACACATTTATAATTTAGGCGTTTGTGCGCATGCTCAACACACACGCGCACGGATACCGTCAGAGAACACCTGACCTGCTAGCCGGCCAATCACATCAAGTGCATCTTATTTTACGGGCAGGTGAGCAGGCCCTCACCCGAGCCATCTTTCAGTGTCATCATCACAATCTTAGCCTTTAGCCGACTTTTCCAAATACGTGAAAACTGCAAGAGCGTCTTCTTACCTCATTTTAGCTGTGCCGTGTTTCTGTCAATCATCCAGCGCCTTTTGGGTGGTGTTGAAAACGGCGTTGCTAGCGCCTCCTGCCGCCGCCGTCTTAATGTGCAAATGTTAGCTTACTCGAAGAGGAGGAGGACTTGTGTGGGAAGGCGGCAAGGTGGAGGAAATACAACACGAATGGACACCTTTTTCTGGTCGAATGTGAGTGTGTGTGTGTTTAAATAAATAGTCGCAGTGCTGCTGTTTCACGGCTGCAAGCCGCTGTCCCATGGCATCGAAGCCGGGCAGACAAGAGCTGCTCGGCGGTCCAGGGATGCCATTTTCCCACCGCGCTCGGTGATGAGATTCAACGGCCTCCAGTGGCCATTACAGGAACCGCGACAGCCTTTTCTTGATAATAATAATACATTTCATTTATAAGCGCCTTTCAAAACACTCAAGGACACTTTAAACAGATGTTTTACGTTTTGTTTGTTAAGTTTTCAACTTTATTTGTGTAACTAGGTTTTTATTGTATGGTTTCGTGTGCTTTTGTCAAAAGCTATTTTTTTAATTCAAACGTACACTTTGAGATCGATATTCTTTGATTGATTGATGGATGGATGGATAGATAGATAGATAGATAGATAGTACTTCAGCCATTCGTTTTGCTTTGATAAATACACAGAAGTTGCACTATGACAGTATTCAATAGTCTTTTGTGACCACAGGAGGGCGCTAAAGCTTTCAGGAGCCTATAGTTTTAGAGTTGAAATTTAGGGCTAAGTCATCGATGGCGAGAAATGTGTCTTTGGCTGAAATCAAACAAACGATGGACTTGAAATCTTGATTTCAAATCATTAATTTGCGTAAATGGAAACAAATTTCTCTCCTCGGTTACCAGCCCGATATGTGCATATATGAACAAAAGGAAATACATTACAGCACAAGGTAGTTTATTATTATTTTATTTTCTAACACATAACCTTACATTCTAGTACATTCTGTCCTGTATGTGTTTGCAATACACATTGTGGAAGTACTACTACAAACAACAGAAACGACCAACCTATTTAAAACTATGGTAAATTAACATGTTTCGTCAAATAGTGGCCATGGCTCTAAAAAACAGGCTTACTAAAAGCAGTTGCTGTGGATCATAGAAATTATAGTTCACGAGATGACACTATTTTAATGATGGATTCCAACAAGGTGGTGGGTTTCGTTTTTAAAGTATGTTTCAAAATGAACTTTTTGCATTGAACAGTGGTGTTCCACAAGACTCACTATTAGACCAACCGCTATGTTCTATACGTCTCTATTTGCAGAAATCCATTAAGTCAATAGGAAAGCTAAAAGTTGTCCAAAACAATCAAGATCAGCAGGTAATGTGACAACATCATGGAGGCATTGTTTCTAGCTGGTCAGTAACAAATCTGAAAGTACTGGCTGGGGGACTTGATAGGGCTTTTGTGTTTGTTAGCATCCTGCTGTGTGTTCTTTTGACTGGTGGCACTGGAGGAGGTCTTCTGGAGGTTCAACATGAAAGACGGGCTCTTCCTCCTTGCATCGGATTTGGTCGCGCCCCTTGCCTGCTGGGTCCCCCCCGACCCACCACTGCCACCCGCTGCAGGCACCGTGGGGGCAGATGTTGCAATGGTCTCAGAAGACCCAGTCTTTCTTGCGTGGGGGCTCAGATAGATCTGCATAGTCACTAAGTGAAGCGGTGAGATGGGGAGGAGGGGAGGATGGTGGGGAATGTGAAGGGGAAAGCATGCAAGGGACAAGGGAAATAAGTCATGGTGAGATGTAGAAATGTATGAAGAGTCGACAGAGAATAACGAATCAAATACTTGACCACTTAAAAACTAGATAGGGTAGTAATGTCGTCACGGGTAAGTCCTACCTTTGCTGTGTGTCACTCGCCTCATGCCTGCATAGTAACAACACACTTAATGTTGCTGTCTCTTCCACAAGCGATAAATTGTGAAACTTAAATATTTTACCGAAAGCCACAGGTTCCTCCTTGGATCTGCTACTCCTTTTGGCAAGGAGGAAAACATATAATTGTAATAAATTGTATTAACAAGCACATGCAGCCAATTCACTGATCAAGAGTCAGAAGAGTAAGAAACAGACAACCTCACCCTTCTTGTGTGCTTGTACAGGACGACGCTGATGAGGATGGACGCATTTTGGGGGTCTTACATGGACTGTCCTTCACACTTCCTGCCGGGCTCCTGACACCACTGTACAGAAGACACAAGTCAGTATGTATTTGTTCCCAACTCAATTTATTATTTCCATTATAATATTATCCTCTCACCAGCGAGGGGGTGTCGGACTGTAGTTCCTGCAGGTAGCTCCAGATGGTAGGGTGGAGCTCTTCCTCACGCTGGCAACTCCCGAGGACCCCACAGGTGCTCTTGGGGGTAGACCCAATGAGACAGGCCTCCCTGTGAGGCGACACCAATGTACATAAATGTTGTACATTTACCAAAGTTACCAAGTTTTGGGTTTTATGCTGAGTCATCAAGCTAAAACAAAATCTCTAGGATAAGCTCATCTTTGAAGGAACCCAAAAAATGGGGAACAAACAAAAAAGGCTGCTTCAAGTAAAATTTTGTGGTTATCGGTGAAAGCAGTGACAATAATTATTTTGGGGGGTTAAATTTTCCAGGAGCACTGCTGAGTGGAGTTCGTTGTCTTTTCCAGTTCACAGTTCAAAGACAAAGTGGCAGCAGATGGAAGTAAAAGTGAAGTGTTGCCACAAATCTTGACCAACCTTTACTTCCCGACGTCCTCTTTCCCGATGCGGCGGCATTGGCGGACCGGTGCTCCTCGGAGATGTTGAGCCTCTTGAGGACGTCGGCCAGGGTCATTTTCAGCAGCTGAATCTCATCCTCCTGCACCTGCATCCTCTGCTCCAGGTAGGTGACCCGGTCGACCACATCCAAGTTGCTGGCCGCTGAGCTGCGACCATCTGGGTGAGGAGGGACATGGAGACAAATGGATGACGCCATGTTGTCGGCGTTCATTATGTAACACATCTTTCCGACGCTTTCATGAAATCCCCGGCTTGTTTGGATCAGGTCACATGATTAAGGTTGCGGATTTGTCAAATGGATCGACAGATGGGTCCATCTCCCACATCACGGGACACTTTGTTCATACGACTGTGGAATTGTATTCCATAATATCCATTAATAATGTCTTTAACATTTTTAATGTACCGGTATTATGGCATATGAATCAATTTTAAGTAAAAGTAAATTGTCAATACAAAATTATGAATGTACAATGTTATTATGACATGCTATTGTCTGGTACGAAAAATTTCAATGGAACAGTGCTCTCGTGAGTGGTATGCAAAAAAACAAATATGATTGCCCAAATGCACTTTTGTTGTAGTTTAATGTAACTGCATTTAATCCCTAAAAACTGGTTGTTGTTAAACATTTATTTTGGTATCACTTTTGTTGAAAATTTATGTGCATACATGTAAATATATATTAAGTGCAGTGTTACCATTAAAATGCATAGTGCCACACTGGCTTAGAATAATTTTAAATACACTTTTAATGTTGTTCATGGTAGTGGCGGTTGGAGAGACAAGTATTTTTTTAGGTGGTACTTGGTGTTTTAAGAGTAGCTCAGTTCAAAGTTTTTCTTGATTGTTTTTGCAACATGGAAGGAAGCCAGGCAGACAGAAAAAAGAAATCATGAAAAAATAGACACATTCGGAATAAATAATGTCAAACAAATAATAACAAGGTGGTGCAAATATGCCTAAAACCCCCATTTTTCATCAGCATTAAGACTAAGCTTTCCAACCCCTTTCCCATCTCACACGCGAGAGTCGGACGAAAGCAAATGAGGTCAAAGCACAGCTGGACAGACGGGACAGTAAACAAAAGTTGCGACGTCAACACAAAAAATGTGGCGGTGTACCATGTGAGCCGCTGGATGCTGATGACGAATAATCGCGGTGAAACCTCTGCGGGGCCACCGGGCCTTCCTCCGCCACCTTGGCGGTCTTCCTCCTTTTCTTCTCTTCGCGAGAGCACACTCTCTCTGTCCTCCTCACCCCTCCTTTGGGGCCACTCACACGGGGTGACGTTCGGTCCATCCTCTGCAGACGCAATTCCAGGACCCACCTTGCGGCATCCGGGCCTCCTGATGCTGTGCTTGCTCTGGTTTCCACGGCGACTGGCAACACGACTAGGATGCTCTGAATGCTTAAAGCCCTCCGCTCTGGGCTTAAACCCTCAGCTATGGTCCAAATCAGCCTAAATTGGTGTGTGTGTGAGTGCGAGAGGGGTACAATGATAATCCCCCAGATTGAGCCCCTCTGACCCCGCCCTACTGGCCTCACACATAAGACTCATGTCACTGAGAGAAAAGGAGACACAATGGGGAAAATCTGGCCTCGTTTTTATTTTCTTCTTCTTATGGGCACGGTTTAATTAATAGTCCACACGTAGACAGGCGATATAACAATACCTGTACTCAGGAATGCATTCTTTATCCGCCGCAAAAAATGTCGAATATTACTACAGATGTCGATGTCACTTCCAATAGTTGACTGAAACTCTAATTCATATCTTTGCGTGACTGGATTATATTGCTACCTGGTGGCCAAATCACGCAGAGGAGAGCGAGCAGCAATGAATGAATCGTGTTTCTCTCGCGCGCAGTTTAACCTGAATCCAGCACAAGAATGTCACTCAACTCGGCCACGCCCAATAAAGGCTCACATCCGCAACACACAAATATTTTCAAAAAAAGGCAGTGCTATTTTTTTCCTTTATTACATGTAGGAAATGATGGTGGGTTTTTTTTGGGCTGTTGATACGGATTAATGGCATTCCAGTGGGAAAAAAATTGATTTGAAAAACATGGACTGCGTGATGAGTTTGGTCACAGAACAAATTCAACTCAAAGTACCTCTGTAATCGATACAGCATGACATAATCTGCTTCTGATTTCCTGTTTGTCTTCTCTCTCAAACTGGCTGTGACATCACAAACACACACACACACACACACACACACACTCTCCATATGGGGATTGGGATTAGAATACCACATAATCCCACTCCTGTAAAAGGGAATTAGCAGCCTGAAGCTCCCTCTCAGACGTGCAAAGGCCACGCTCTGCCTACATGCCTTTTATCCAAATATATCAATTCACATATATCAATAAATAGTTACACATGTTTAAAAATATGCACAAAACCAAGAGATCTTTAGAAAAATTCAGACAGAATTGTTAGATTGGCACATGTAATTAGATAGGTGGTTGGAGCTAGGTTGTTGTTTCGCTGTGACCTTCTCTCATGCTATGGCTGTGGCATACTTACGAGTCACGCATTGTTACATGGTCTAGCCAAAGTACCCCCCCTACCCCGGCTCCCGCCATGTAGGTGCAGCTAAAATAATGTAAGAACAGGAATCATTTTGCACAGGCCAGACTTTCTTCTGCATCTGGCAAAAAAGGGCCCTGCGTCGATCTTCTCGGCATGCGTTAAATCGCCTGACTGGGAAATTACAGTCTCCAGACAGATAGTTCATTGTATAGTGAGGTTCCCGTGGAAATTTATAAAACTTTTCTTTCAGGCTTTAGTCTTGTTTTTGTATCTCTGAAAGGAGATGAGCGGTTTGCACTGTTTCCTCATTTACCTACTGATGACGCAGCATCCAAATTGTGCCTGCATCACAATAAATAAAACAGCAACAGCTTCACCCACACTCGCAATCGGAAACCCTACTTGAATATTTTAATTTCATTTTTATAGTTTAAAAAAAAAAAAAAGAGAGACATCTACCTGTCATGGAGTCAGCGTCAGGCGCTAGGAGGGAGTCGCTGTGGTAGCCCTCCTTTAGCGAGCCCCTCTTGAGGAGAGCTCCAGGGTCCTCTTCCATGCCCAAACCAGGGTCCACCAGCTCCTCCAAGTCCCCCTTGGCCATGCCCGCAGCCATGATGTGGGTCACCTTCCCTGAACAGCAGGTCACTCACCCTACTTTCCCCCCCTCACCCGCCACCCACCTCCACCTTCACAGGCTTGCGAGGGCACAGAGAGACTGATGTCATTCAGGGGACAGATTAAGAGCCTGCTAAGCCATCTCCACGCACAATCCAGTGGGGGTAGACTTTGTGCATGCGTGTGCATGTATACAGTACATGGCGGTACACACTTTCACAAGGTCCACACAAAAAAAAACAACTTCCTACAAATAAAAAAAATAAATAAAGAACACAACAGTACTTGTACATGTGTGTGCGCGTTTTGTGTATGTATGGTGTGTGTCTCTGTAACCGTGTATGTCTGTCCGTCTTCTGTGTTAGCACATGTGCACTTGTGCGTCTGTCTTGTGTGTGTGTACCCGTGTTTGTGTGTGTGCGTGGGATTGATGCCAGCTGGGGTCACTACCGACGCAAAGACCTTGCACAAGCAGCAAAGATTCGGACCCCCCCTACCACAACTAATACAAACATACATTGGACTCACTACTGCCCTCCTATGGTGACCGGTGACCATCACACACTTCCTGTTTTGATCACATGCATAGACAGGAGAGCTTCCCTTTTGCACTCAAACGCCATCGAGAAGGGGAACAAAAAAATAATCATGTCGAGTACAGCCATAGAGAGGGGTCATTTTAATTATATTATAAACGACAGTTTTTTTTGTTTTTTGCTGAGCTTTAAAAAGCCTTTCAAGGAGAGACATGGCACATTATTTCCTCAAAACTGACTGTGGAATTGTATTCCACAATAGCCATTAATAATATCTTTAATTTTTCAAAAGTGTTCTGGCATATGAATCAATATTAAATAAAAGTAAAATGTCAATGCAAAATTATGAATGTACAATGTTAGTGTGACATGCTCCCTATTGTCTGGTAGGAGAGGAAGGCCGGAGCCCAGATTCGAACGCTGCACCTCTGCACTGTGAGGCGGACGTGCTAACCAGTCGATCACCGTGCCGCCCACGATGAACATTCCTGGGTTAAATGCGGGAGGGGAAAAAAAATACACTCGAACAATTAAATTTCACAAAGAACTTCATTAAAATGTATCAATATTCTTTCAATGCAACATTAAAATCAGTAGGGATGTTACATTAATTCAAGAGCTCTTCCAGGGTGTGACAAAAAAGTGACAATAATATCCAAGAGACATGTCTCTACTGCAAAAATATCAAAACATTGTTTTTTGTTGATACCCCGTTCGTCCCAAGACTTTTTCCAAATATATCAAAATATACATCCATGAGAAGCATCGGTGCAAAACACTTTTGTTCCGACTCATGTTTCCTGTGTGACAAAACCCATATCTAATCGCTTATCCTCTCAGCTTCTTTAACACACAAGACGGCGGCTGTGAACTGAGATAGTCCACAGTGTTTGACGGAGGCTTGCGCTTGCCGAATGGCCGGAAGAACGTTTGACTATTTTGATTGCTCTATGGTTTATTCAAGATGGGTTTTTTTTTTAAACGAATGACAACTTCATTGAGGCACAGCGGGGGGCCTCTTTTGATGGGGGTGTGTGTGACTTTTTACCTTTACCACATAAATTAAACCATCAATTTCAATCAATCAATTTCCATCGATCAAAGGAGATCATCAATTCAACAAAGCATGCTCCCCAATAACTTAAATTGACCACTTAAGTACAGTTAACCTCATTTACATATCCTTAAATATAGTCCATACAGCTCTTGCAAAAATACTACACAATGTTTCTAGTCAAACAGTGCTTGGATGAAATATGTACACTTCCGTTTTTATGTATTTCTTTTGTCAGGGGAATCTAACCTGTTAATTTAACAGAAAAATAATGACATTAAATACAATTAAGTTGCTTTACACCTGAGGGGGGGAAACAAGAAGTCACCTAAAAATATTGCAAGTGCCATCATAGAAAAGTAACTTCAAATATTCCAAATTAATAAGGGCTGCATCAGGATCAATATGACACGTGATCAGGCTCTGATTGGGGCCAAACCTTTGGATTCATGCACCCTCTGACGCATAACAATAGCTTCTTACGCATACACAGATGCATACATATATATTCATAAGCAATGGCTTCAGTCATAAACGGCCAGTTGGAGCAGTGGTAAAAACTCGGTGGCAGTTCAGCGTCGGAACCTTGAGCCGCTGGCTTAAGAACGGAACAAACACAGAGCTAAGGTGCGTTCGGGGAGGAGATATGTGAGAGACAGTCGCTCAGATCAGCCTCGTGTTCAGCCTGCCTGGCAGGCAATGGGGGATGGTGGAGAGGGGAGGAAGGCAAAAAAATCTGATTTGATGGAAGCAGAAAATACAAGCGAGCTCAACCGAGTCACTGTACAATGATATAACTGTAACCTCTTTAGCCAGCTCAAGGGCTCTGTGTGTCGCCTTTTCACACAGGCACCACCGTTGCTTCAGAGCAATGACCAGGGTGGGTGGAAAATAAATACAACATTTTTGGGCCACTTAACTGCTGCAAATTGAAAATATTATCGTGTTAATCCTGTCAATTCCAGGGCCTTAGAATTGGCACCGCATTTCGGCCCCTTATTCCCCCGATGGGGTCAATGCTTCATTCATGGACTGCCACAACACCACAAAATCACCGAGGTTGGCAATGTCGTTGCCGCGTAAAAGTTGGTGCCGCATTTTCGAGCTGCAATGGCAAAGTCGCTGCAACGGCAATGTTGCCAGAATGTCACCAGTTTCAAGGGCCTTCAAAACCACTAAAACTTTCCATCAGTGGTAAGAGCTGTTTTTTGGGGGGGTTTGCAAGGTGACATGACCCCTCCCGCTCTCATTGTCGGTGTGAGCATCCCAAAGACTTTTCCAGTTTTTGAAAAAACTTGATAGAGGTACCATGGATTGGTAGAAGAATGATATGCAAAACATGCTTTTGAAAAGTGGCTGCAAGCAATACTTCGAGGGCGATATCACATTTGCGAGCGCACCACCACTCTTTGAGAAATTGAACGTGACGTTGACATATTCAGAAAACACTTTCTTGAAATACATGTCTGCAACCAGCTACGAGAGTTAGCGTGTCTACAATTGCTGAAATAAATACATTACATTCGCTACAGAAGCAGCTAATTAGCTAACTAGCAGGGCTCACATCAATTCGTTTCCGCTCTCGTAGCTACTCCTCTGCTGAGAAATAAGTACTTTTACTGGTGGAAACATGACAACATTTTTATTTTATTTAGGGAAAAAAAATTTTTTTTTTAATTTAATTTTACTTTTTTTTAACTAATGTGTCTACAAAGCGTTAAATGGAACAACTTTTTTTTTTAATCCAAATGTTTCAAGATCATACATTCTAGAGCTGTAACTGCAATACCAATGTGACCAATGTACCCTTGGGCAAGAGACTGAATTATTATTTACTCCCGATGGACCTTGGCACCTTGCATGGGCTGGCATGCAATGTTGTCTGAATATGTGTGTGCGAATGAGTCAATGTGAGCTTCTGTGAAGCACTTTGGGCACTGTGATGGTCTAATTAAAGCGCTATATAAGTGCACTACGATTCCCATTTTGCAATATTTTTTTTCTTTTGGTTGTCATACCACCATCAGAATTTGATACCAACCTATGCCTATGAATGACAATGTCACAGGAAAGACAACATTGTCTCCACGCACAACGCCACCCACAGTGTCGCCAGTCCCTTTTTTACTGCAGGTTCTTGAGCATGCGTCCATAGCGGAAGTCGTAGACGTGTCGGCAGAGGTAGACCAGCTCGGGGTCCACATCCGTGGGCACACAGCGGTGGGAGGGCGGGGCAAAATCCTGGCAGCAGGGCACCACGCTGCTGATGCCGGCGCTGGGCCGGGCGCCTTCAGAACGACGCTTCATCAAGGCACAATATCTACATACACCAAAACAAACACGCATTATTACAAAGTTCTCAGGTTCAGTATATATGAGCAAATTTATTGGGACAGCCTCATTCAAACAGAGATCCTGCAGAATTGGTGCATTGGAACCAGAGGATCAGACAAGAACTTGTTCTTGATTTTTGCGGGTCTAGTCCAGACTTTCGATTGACTTCAAATTCTACCTTTATCCACACTGAGACTGATCACGATGTGATTGCTGTCCCTCACCTACAGTACTGGGCTAGCGGGAGGACGTAGCATCTGTCTTCAATGCAGGCTACGCTGTTCTCGTCTTGATGTCGAGAGGCAAAGATCTCGTTCTGAAAAGAAAAAACAGCTTTACATTCTTAGTTGTCTCCCATCACAAAATGTGATGTGGGGTGGCATCACAATACAGAAAACGGCAAAAAAAAAAAAAAAAACTTATGGAGATCGCAGATTCCCAAGGAATAATAATAAAAAAAAAATTTAAATCAAGTGTGAACATGGTAGTTGTATCTGAAAGGAATTAAGACTATGAGTATTCTCCTGTAAAATTTGAGAATGACAGTGATGTTTCTGCTGTGACAGTCGTAGTAGTCAGCTCACCTCGCAATGTGCGCTGGGGTCTCGGCCTCCCTGTGTGTGCTCTGGCCGGTAGTACCAGAAAAGACTCATCATGAGCTCCCCTGAGGCAACCAATAAAAACACACATACACACACCACATACGTCAGCAACCTTGACACTCCATCCATCAATCCTTGGTCCCTTGCATACCGGTTTTGGGATCCTCCCACAAGGCGGATATTTTGGCCACATAAGGCAGGGACTTCTTCCTCGGGCCCGAGCGCAGCAGCACCGTGTCTCGGACGCGGATCACCTCGCCGTCCCTCTCCACGCCCTCATAGCACTGCCTGAGTGCCGTCTCGTCCTCTCCCTGGCACCGCACAAACAGAAATCAGCATTCTTCTACTGCCTCCGAGAGATCACTTTTTTTTTTTTTTTTAATCTCACCGCGATGAAAACCTCCTTCTCCGTGGAGACCCCCACGGGCCGCCATCCGTTGGTAGCACGTCTGCGGCCAATTCGCCTTTGTTGTGGGGGCCGAGGCCCAGCGCTTTGGTCACCGTTGGAGACGCCGGACGCTTGGTTGGCAGCCGCTTTTAGCCAGGCTCGGCGTGGCACCTGATGCTGCTCATGGTCCGACAGTGGGTTGAGCAGGTGGGGGGTAGTAGTCTGGGTGGAAGTGGGCATGCTGGATAAAGGGCAGTTGGAGAGAGGCAAGGACGGCGGCACCAGAATAGATGGGTTGTGGTCACCTTGAGGGGAGGAGTAAGTTTCTGGAAAATGGGCACATTCGGCACATTTGAAAACTTCTCATACTAATGTCTTAAAAATTGACTTATTATGCATCATTCTTGTCTTAATAACGTCTGCCACATTATTGTACAATGCACAAAGAATCAAGAATTATCGCAGATCGAGCCTTGCTGACGTGTTTTGGGAGCGTTACGGCTCATGCAAATGAGCAACCACTACCCCATTCTACCGTACTTCTGGGCCAATGGCAAATCTGGCTTTTGTTGCCGTGACGACGAGGAGCGGAACCTGACCCTTGCACCGACAGTACCATTTTGAATGTGCAGTTGACCATATTGATAGTATTTGAAATTTTTTTTGTCCCACACTGGGGAAATTTACAGTCTACAGCAGTAAAATTGAGGGGTAGAAGAAGAAAAACAAAGTGCTTGCATTCAAAAAAATAAATGTTTCAGTTTCAATGTACACAGTTCAATTAAGTGCAATATAAATATAGATAAGGTGTCTGTGCTATTTACAATTGTTTTTCTGTTCCATTACTGCGATACGCCAAAATTAGGACTAAGGTTTGCCGAGATAAATGCACTTTAGGTGGAGCTAGCCAAGGTTATCTCAAGGTCTTGGGCTATTTGACAATGGCGTCCAATTGTTGTGGTTGTGTGGTTTGTGACAGCATTTTTTTGGGGTAAACCTTATCAAGGAAGACCTAATCTGAGCCCCAAGCTGCAGTTTGTAGACTGCAGGAGATCAGATGATAAAAAGCCTTGTGTGCAACAAACATTAATAACTATCAAATGGATAAGTTTGTTTCCTACAAACCTGTTTTGATACCACGCGAGCATCCAGTGCACCCCACGTTGAAAGAGCACCCCCTGCTGGCGACGGTGGGCACGGCTCTGCACGTGTAGTTGCCCATCCCGCAGGTGTCGCCGTAACATGGGGAGGCCACAGAGTTGCAGCATGCCGGGTGAGGTATGCCTGAGGTGTGGGTGACGCGGGAGCCGGGCAGCAGCTTGGAACCCATCATCCGGTTTGGGCACAAGGCAGGTGGCACAAAGTTCAGAGGACGTGGGGCAAGCGTGGCCGACGTTGCCGCGTGAGGTGGCGGCGGGTGTGGGGCGATGTGGACGTAGTAACATAGGCAGGGATGGGGGCTGAGGGTCAGTGCCGGGTGGGAGTGTGTCAGGGACGGCGTGGTCACCAGGCACTCGTGTTTGACGGGTGTGCCACCTCGGTTGCCCGACTCAGGGTGCCCCAGGAAGAAGGCCAGACGGTGGCAGTATTCCATGGAGCCCTCAGGGGGGCAGCAATAGCAGGGGCTCAGTTCAGTTTCCAGCTGTTCTTCCTTCACGTTTTTGAGGGAGTAACTTAACATGCTGCGGAACTGGTAGCCTGGTTTGGCCAGCACGTGGTTGCCAGACTCCCAGTCCACTTTGGGCTCAAAGTCGGCCTTATCCTTGCAGGCTGCGCAACAACAGTGCATGGGGGAGACCTTCGTGGGAGCCTCTTTTTGCTTTTTAGATCGCTCTTTGTGTTTAACTCTTGAAGGCTGTTTTTGAGTCTGGATCTGGGAAGGAGTCTTGCAGTCCGATGTGGTAGTGGTGGTGGATACGGTCTTGACTCGCTGTTTGGACACAGCAGACAAGCTGGTCAGCTTCAGCAGGGCGGCAGCATTTAGTCCAGCCAGTCGCCTTGGGGTCGGCACATCCAGAATTTCCAAACTCATGGCCCGTTTCTTGTCGACTCTGGTATGCCTGGCTTTCTTGACCTTCTTGGAGATTTGGTTAAATTTGTGGGAACAAGACGGATTAGAGACCATTCCTCGAGAGGGTTTTGGAGGTGCCACTACATCTAGGGAACCCGATCCATTGATAGGTTCCCCCTGGTGTCTTTTGGCCAACTTGGCTGCCAGTTGGAGGTCGGTGGCTCTTTCCAGGAGCAGAGTGTTGACGGCCTCGGCATTGAGAGAGGCCAGGCGTCGCTTGCGGGGTTGTGAGACGTGAGCACTTAGAAGCTTTGATTTGACTTTAGATGCCAACTTGGCCTCGCCGAGCTTCCCTTTCCTGGACTTGGCTTTGAGAGATCTCTCTTCAGCTTTCTTTCTGATGCTTTCCTCCAACCTTGTGAGGAGAACATGGCAGCTAAAGCCCTCTCCAAGCCTCCCTCGGAGCGGATACAATTTCCTGTCGGACTTCTTTTCCTCATCTTTATTGGCCCTCTTGTCCTTCATTGCCTTGTTATTTTTCTCTCGCCGGATGACCTCGCCGATCTTCTTCGTCCGGCCAAAGCGGAGGGCGCGCTCAGCCTGGTCCCCGCCCATGTTGCGGCCGTGTGGCTGCAGTGGACTGCGGTCCCAGCGGGAACCTTTCTGACTGGTGTGGGTCATCACATGCTTCTGGAGGCAGCCTGGAGGCGACAGCAGAGCAGAGAAGTGGTCCCCAAAATTATATATATATATATATATATGAGTATTGTTAAATTATCACTCTGTGTTGCTGCACCATTTCTTTTCACATCTATATTATTTACTTGACACTACATTACTTTCCATTTTTGCGCTCTGGAAGCACCTTGTAGGTCACGTTGTAGGTTATGTTGTCACAGTACTTTTTTTTTGGTTAACGCTAAAAGCAAACGAAAATGTGTTTTGGGCATGTTGGATGTAATCCAATGGTACAAACAGATGGCGAGAAAGACGGATGGACAGACAGTGCTGGGGTATTTGAGGTTCTGAGCGATTACAGAAAAAAGCTTCGAAAGAATTCCAAGTTTTGTTTACCACACACACACACACACACACACACTTGATTGCACCACAGGCAAATCACACTTACTTTAAATGAATGCATACATCCATATGTGCATGCATGCATGTTATGTGTCGGAAGGATGGGATACAGTAAAGGCTGAGTGGCTCACGCATGCGAATAGGCTCTAAATATGGGTTGGGGGAGGGAGGTGAGGTAGGAAGGTGTCGGGGGAGGAGGGGGGGTGCGCACGCGGACAGAAGCAAAATAAAAGGCACTCCCTCCCTCCTTGCCTCGCTTTTCGATCCGATCACATTTTCTAACCGGATTCCTCTTAAACGAGTCGACACGTCGGCGGACACGATTGAGCGCCTCCCCAACCGAACCGACAGCTACGGTAGATTCACTCGCTGCCTCCCTTCCCCCTCGACAAATAAATAAGCCATTTTCAACAAATTCTCTTCTGCTCTCGTCGGAACAAGTTGGCGACGACCCCGATCGAGGTGACAACTTACCGCCGCACTTCCTGCTGCTCGCGGGAAGGGGGTGGAGGAGGCGGAGGGTGGGGGGGCGTTGAGAGAGCGTGCGCGAGGGAGCCGGACTGGCGAGATATTGGCACGGCCCCCAGAACCGGTAGAGCTTGGGAGTTGTGGAGGTAATCGTCGGCGCTGTGGACGCGTGCGCGTGGACGAGTGTGCGTTCCAGTGTTTTTCTTCCTGGTTGCGTGTTGAAGCAAACGATCCTAATTGTGTTTTCCCCTCAAATTAACCGGCAAAATGTACCAGGTTTATTAAATAGAGTGTTTGATTGTTCTCATAAACATTCAAAACGATGTTCAATATGAATATTTTGACAGTGAAACGCCAACTGAATTTCAAACGGAGACCAGTTTTGTAGCTTTTCACATTAACAAGCAAAAACATTTTACCCTTGGGGTCAATCAGACCCCAGGGATATTTGGCTCCAGAAAATGATGCACATGAATTTGTTGACCCAGTTTTTGTTGTTTATTTGTTGACTACATAATACCCTCTTGATAATAAGACTTATCAGCGAGTTGACCTGTCCTCCAGCGTCTCCATCAGGTCAGACTTTGAAATTAGAATGAATGTATCTTAATAGTGAGAAGGATAGTCCAAGTGAGCTCAGTCCCAAGATGTTTCTGTGGAAGTTCTCTTGTTTTGGCTACAGAGGAATCACATGGTTCGCAGCTATGCGCCTGCCAAAAACATTCCATCTTTGCAAGGAAACTAAAAGTAAATATTAAAACATAAAAAAAGAAAAACAAACCAACTGCATTTTCTCGAATAGCGATTATGCCGCTAATATAGCACAAATTAGTGCCTGGGTGCTCATCATCCCTTTAAGACACATGCCTCAATCATCTCATTTCATAGGCGCTATTCAACGCGTTAAACTGTGGAGCCTGTTGCTGACCAATACTGCAGCACCCACTGCAGTATGTATAATCTCTGTCTCAAATGGATTAAATTCCAAATTTATTTCACAGTATATGGTGGTGGCGTCTTTAGCGTCAATTAGCATTCCAGTCAAACCGCGTCAGAGGTGGAGGCTTAAAATGTAACGCATTTTGCAAACTAGGTCTCTTGGCATTATTGAAGATGACAATTACTCGGAGACAGTGTGTTTTGGGATGACTAGTGATGTACAGTAGTTGAACCATACCATTCCTTGTTTTTCATGGAAAACAGCTCATTGGTGGTTTATCCCCATTGCTTTCTATCATTTTTTACTGTTTAAATCTAAATCGTGAATAGTGCAGGTCCGCTGTAGTTTGATATAACTAAAAGTGCATGTCTGTTAATGGCCAGCCCGTCACTCATTCAGCGACTCATTAGTGTTCTGCACTGGCAGAGGTCCACTGATCATTGCTCTATTGCTCTGTCTCAATTATAAGTATTGCTTATTGAGCTTAATATAGTAGGTGTCACTAATTAAAATGCTGGCGTGAGACATTTATGACTCTTTAGTAAGGGGGAGGGGGTGAAAGACTCACTGTGGAATGAATTAAACTTTTATCACACGGCAACTCTACATGTAAAAACATTTGACTATTTTTTTTTGTTGTTTACAATAAATTAACCAAATGTTAAGTTATTTTAATGAAAAATGGCATAAAATTGCAGCTCGAAATATTACAGGACTCTTGATAATGTAAATGCTCTGCGGGCTGAATTTAAGATGATAATGGGTGTATCTCATATTTCATTATCATCTTAAAAGTGGATCTGTATTTCAATAAAAATTGCTATATTGATTTTTACATTTAGAGGAGAGATTTTCTATCGTCACCTTGTGGATAGAAGCAAGTGAATCACGTCATCCCCCATCATAAAAACACCCGGAGCACCGTACCATCTGATTTATCAGTGATGTCATGATGTTATCATCCCCCTTGTGAGCTCATTGCACTCATGACCTAATTGTCAACTACGAGCGTTGATGGGATCGGGATCATGGCAATTCATTCTGTCTATAATCACATATCCACATACTGTACAAGTCAGAACATTAAAAATACTCTCGGGTTCTCATACTGTTAGTTGACTGTTGTCATGGGACCGCTCTACCTGCCAACGTGCGTAGCCAACGAACCACTGTTGTGCTTTAATGTGAATGTACATGTGTTTATGTTCCCTAGAGTGCCTTGTTGTTGGCTGTGAGTCTGCACACGTCATGGAAGAAGCGGAAAGAGTGTGGAGGAGTTATTTTATGTTTTGTTTTGTTTTTTTTTTTATATGACAGTCAGTGTGTGATCAGCGCTTGGCACTGGTGTGGCCACTTTGAGGTGGAGTTTGCAGTGACTTAACTCCTACACTGGAAAGTTCCAATGTCTATTTTTCCAACACTTTTTCAGCATACGTACACATTTTTCGTCCATTTACGACTTTGTACATGACTGTTTTTTTTTTTGTTTGTGTACCGTTGACACTCAAGTTTTATGGCTTATAATACTTTGACATTTTTTGGTCCTGGAAAGGGTACAATTTTCGCTCAAATGAATATAAATGTATTATTTGTCTCGGTTCCAATGTTTTTCCATTTTCTACCCTTGACACTTGACATTTACAGCTTAAGAAAACACATGTACCGTTTTTGGTTCTGGTAAGACGACAGTAAGTCTAATAATTATTTAGCTTGACTCGAATACTGCAGGGTTACAATATTGCTACTGTTTTGTCGTCTTTACAATTCACTTTTACAGCATACCGGTATATATTTGGTCCCGTAAAAAGGCACAATAAATCCAATGAAGGAGCTCAAGCAACATAAATGGATTGCTAGCGAGAGAGTTCCAATGCAATCCTCCACTTCCCCAAACAATCCCGGCCTCCCCACTCCCGTTTAGATCCATGACACTCGAGCTTTACAGCACCTGGATCATTTTTGGTTCAGGAAAAAGCCAAATGACCTGAACTCTTGTACAGCTGGGATCCAGTGATTTGCAGCACGCATGCACATTTTGCACATTTGCAGAATTCCATTTTTTTGGTTTTTATACCTTTGACACTTAATGTTCAGAATGCACCGGTGCCTTTTTGGGTATGATAAATACAATAATGATGTTTGAGTGCCATACTTTCTTTTTGGCAGGATTTCATTGTTTTTGGCCATTTCTATACCCTTGACACTTGACTTTTAAAGCATAACGGTGCCTTTTTGGGCCAAGTAAAACGTTCAATAATACAATAATATGTCCTCTGGGCTGCATTTCCAACAGTGTTTTATGTAATTGTACAGACTAATTAGCTTCATTTCGTTTTCTTACGACATTGTTTGCCTTGCACTTTACCAGTGGATGAAAATGTGTGTGAAGCTGCTGCTGCTGCTGCTGCTGCTGCTGGTGGGGGTGCACCGGGATAACAAACAAGTCCTAGACTACCACTCCCTGGGAATCTCTTCCCCACCATGATGAGGATATAACAGGATTCTGTGTCTGAAAAGGACCTCAAGACATGACTTTGATAAGAGGCCCGCGACGAGAGGGGAAAATACCGGACGACTTACCGCGATGGAGTTGAACCTCGCAGCCGTTTCAAGCTCACTGGTGCGGGAGTCCAGCCAGCCGGGGGCACCGCTTCTCAATACTCCGATCCAACGAGTCCTCTTCCCGATCGCTCTCTCTTTCGATCTATCGTTTGAAGTTCGTTTTAAAAACAATTCGCAGCTCTGTTCACCAGCGCCTCCACCACTTCCACCTCCCCGGAACCGCCAGCCCTGCTCGGCCAGCTCGGCTGGCTTGTAGCCGCTAAACGGAGCCGAGTGCACGGAGCTTCTCGCTTGGCGCAGCCGCCTCCGGCCAGCGTGCGGAACAACAGCTCAGGCGGCAGACAGCGGAATCCGAATGGAAAAGTCTGCAGGCTGCTGGACGATTCCTGGCTTTTCTCCAAATGTTTAAAAAGAAGCGGAGGTGAAGAAGGGACGTCTACATCCTTCTCTCGCGCGCGCCGCCGGAGCATGTGATGGCAACATGGTGAGCCTTTTAAAGGGGTATCCACGCGTGACGGTGTACCGTTGGGCAAGCGCACGTCGCGCACGCACGCGTAGGACACGTATGCACGACCCGCCCTGATAACTTTGCAGGAGGGGTCCACTGTGACGTCACCGGACACGAGCACCTGTATACTCTACTTAATCCACCTGAGTGCCTGTTGCATTACTTACTCACCTTTTATTCGTAACAAAATTAGGGTAAAATAAAGTGTATATGTCTCATCAATCATCTTTTCCCATTGAAATAAATGGAGATGCTATTAATCCATTCCAGTCCCAGTAAAAGAGAGGCAGGCAGATGCACTGTTCATTGAGATGTCGCAACTCTTTTAAGCTCATCAGTACGGCACAAATACTTGCTGTTCTTCACAGATGATAAAGAACACATCACTTTGAGTGCTATATTTTCTCTCTACATGTGTTGTTGCACCATTTGTGTTCAACCTGTTGTAATAGGTGACATAGATGGGAATTAGCCTCCAGTGTAAGATATTGGACTGGAGTGCTCATTTTCCCTCCTGTTTTAAATACACTATGTCTTTTTTTTTATGTTCAGTGTAACAGCAAACTTCAACTGGGAGAGGGAATAAACAGCTTGAAGCTTCTTTTTTGAAGAATTGTTCACTATTTTCCAAAGCACTGCAATGAAGTGAGTTGAACTGATCTCATCGCCACCATACAGCTCGCATGTTTCAAGTCAGTACTGTACTCACAATTCAAAGCAAACAGACCAAAAAGTGTAATGCAAAATGCAGGCTTTTATTCACAACCACAGGCAAAAACGACCCTAACCATCTGCACATCAAAACATTTGGGTAAGCATCCTGTACCCGGTAAAGTCAGTCATATAGAATAAAAGTAAATAATTATGAAATATATTAAACAATAATAATTAAGAATGAGAAAAACAAGCTTACATTCACACAACAAAAAAACAATTTTATTTCTCCAGGTTCTTGATTGATAATTATCGAAGGCTAAGCTGCCAAAACTTCCATCCCCGACGTTCCCTTTTCCCCATTTGCTGCCAGTGTAGGGCTTAGCCTTAATCACACACACACACACACACACACACACACACACACATGCACACAGTGGGATTCACCATTAAGCTGATTCAGTATGGAGGGAGTTCAGTTGTGCTAACGAATAGATGATGCGCCAGGAAAGGAAAAAGAGACAAGCTGAAACATGAACTGGTCCTCTGTCAACATCACGAGACCCCTGTGTGCCATTATGGCTTCTCCGCTGTTCGGCTCATCATCGAGACATCACGTCATGCAAAAAATAAAAATAAAGTCTTATAACCATAAAAAACTGACTATAAAATATTTAAGAAACTAACTTACCATAACTGTGTCAGCCTTTAAATACACTCTTCATATGCTCACTTTTTCATAATAATGGTGTAGTCAATATGCATTTGTAGATGTCAGTCAATGAGAAAAAAAAAAAAAAACATCCCAACAACATGCCGCTGCCCTAAATGTAACCCGAACGAAGCTCTCGTCTCTGGGTGGCACTTATGAAAAGCTCAGAGGTGAAAATTTAATGATGCCCAGCCTTCACATTTTTCCAGCCTGCTTTTTGTTTTACCGTTTGGATAATGAGCACAGCCAGTCTGCCAATCGGCAAGCTCCCAGCATCTCTGAGTACTCCATAACAAGATTGTGTGGTCTCGGACAGATAGAGGGAGATTCTTTCTAAACCCTGCACCGATCACACTTAACTTTAATGATGCTGAAAGTTTCTTTCCACCTCCTGACTTTAAGAGTCTTAATTTCTTGCATAGGCATTGTGGGTAATGTTTTTCTCATCTTCTCCATAATTCAGACCAGGGTCTCCTCGGTCAAGACGTTTCAGCTGTTTCTTCTAGGACTGGCTTCAGCCAACCTGGAGGAGATTGTCATTGTCAACATCTATGACATTATTATTCTTCAGAGGTCCTACGAGGTCTTGGAGGCATGGTTGTGCCGCTCACTGAAATTCTTGACGGTGTTGGGGGAAATCGGCAGCATCCTCTTCACCGTCCTCATCGCCATCTATCGCTACCAGAAACTCAGATACGCCAACAAGAGAGTCCACCTTGACATCTGCCTGGATAACATTCATGCCGCTTGGACAGCAATTGGGCTTTGCATTGGTATCTCCATCTTCTTGAGTGCCCCCATTTTTGTCATGAACTTGCAAGGCCCGACAGGGAATCTCATGGGGAACTATACATGGAATCACACGGGATGCCCGCCGGACTTCTTTCTATGCAGCAACAACCACTGTCCGACGGTTAACCGCGTTTACAAGTACACCTTCATTCTGTTGTGTTACCTGTTGCCTCTGACTATAGTGACGGTTACAAGTTGCCTCATCGTCACAGTGTTGCTTGGCCCGAGGACCACAGTGAAGCCCATCGCCACTGTGAGTGGCTTGACCCAGAATCAGAAAAGGTGTAACGTTCGAGGGCTCCGCCGGAGCACCATTGCAATCCTGGCGGCAATGACATTGTTTCAGGTAGATTGGACTCTTTATTTGGTTTTCCAAATGACTTTCAATGCCACTGACTTTCCTTTTTGGGCAGAATTGGAGTTCTTTATTTCAACGTCCTACACATCCATCAGTCCATACGTGTTTGGTATTGGTAAAAGCTTGTTTTCCAACAAGAACTTTTGCAAAAAGTAATTGTTTTGATGTTGTCTCATTGAGACTGTCATAAAAAAAAAAGACCGTCAACGCAACGTTTGCATTTTAGTACAGTTGTTAAGATCCACCCTAACCTAAATTGTGAACAGTGAATAAAAATGACTCTATTCACATTTAATCACATTTAATCTTTAATTACATCCAGATTAAAGGTGCCTGAAACAAAGTTTACAGAGTGTTCCTGCTAACTCTGCGAGGGAGTAGTTTGGGCTGAGTGTTAGTATTTTTGCAAACATACTCAGCTCGGTGGTTTGTGCCATTGTGTGTGTGTGAACACAGCCGACTTGCTGAGCTAAGAGACCAAGCGGGTCCTCTCATTCCCTCTAAATGCAGAGGATCGGAGGCGCAATGACAGTCCTTGACATGGCAGAAGAAGAAACTGATTTGCTCGAGTCTGGGACGTCAAAGCACACAAAGTACGTTTATAAGGAACAGCAAGCAGACCTCCACGGGCAGATGATGTAAAGTTAACCAGGGAGATCAAAGATCTACGCTGTGAAGTGTGCACTTGGAAACACCTTCCCCGCTATCGTCCATGTCTGTGTGTGTCCTGTAATGCCCCCAGTAGCTATGTAGGAACTGGTAGGAAGATATTTTTAAAAATATAAAGTAATAAGAAAGCATTCAGTGAATTGACTTCTGTAATGACTCAGAGGGCTTGGTGAAGACTGCTGTTAATTTATGTATGAAATATGATGACATATGGAGTCATGTTTTGCCATGCATTTTATCACAACAAAGCCACAAATATAGATTTTGAAAATTACTTTACTCTTCATTTTTTTCAAGTGTCACCACAGTTGTGCTTTTTTTAATGCCATAACATGAATTTTCTTAGAATGTTGACACTTGTACACGGTACTGTTTACAGTAGCCGCCATTTTGTCCCAACCAAATGACTGACCAATGACGAGCCACCTTCGCCTCATTTCAATCGTGCGAAAAGTTGCTTATTATTGACGACGGCTTATTTTGTACCGCACCTTGTCTCTGTTTAGTACGTCACCATTATTATTTTCAGTTGTATAAAAAGCGATCGAGTGTAACATTTTGACGACTTCAGTTGAGTTTGGGTGAGGAAGAAGAAGCATGCTCATTGGCTACCGAGGAGCCGTGGCGCCAATGTGTGACGTCACAGCCCACTACCCAACGTTTGTTGCGTGTGCGCGTGTACGCGCGTCGACGAGTCCGAGCAGGTAAAATATCAAGCGCCACGACGAATAAGTCTCGTGAAACATTTTGTGAACAACTTCTCGGAGTTTTTGTTTGTTATTTACATCGGGAGGCGGAAGAAAAAAAAATCTCCCGCTCTCAACACGTTTGCTAAGCGAGGATCACGCGCTATTGGAGGAAGAGAAGGACGGGGGATGGGGTAAGCAGAAGGTGGGGGAGGCTGATACTGTGCATGCGCCTTCTTGGCTCGTCGGCGTGTACGCGCGCAGGGTCGATCGATGCAAGAGAGAGAGAAAGATCCTGACTGGGCCGGCCTTAGCGTGGCTCTCTCCGGCCTCGATTATTTGCCACTTTGCCTCGACGGACCAACAGTTTAGGAGTGTTTGTGTGTCCCCTCCGACACTCTGCCGGCGCAAGTCGGCTTGCACGGCCGCCACCGAGGCCACGCACGAGGCGGGCCTGCCGGAGCGGAGAGGTGAGGCGTTTGAGGAAACTGCAACTTTTCCAACTTGGTGAGTGGCGGCCTGCCTAAGCACTCTCTCTATTTATCTCCCCCTCTCTTGCTTCCCCCCAAGACCCCATCACTTCGCGTGGCTTTACGATATTATTAACATTTAGACGGATATAAGACAGCATTTGAGGGGGTAAACATAGCGGCGACGTGCCTTTTGATAGCGATTAACACCTCTGTATGTTTGTGTGTAGCTTTATGGCGTTGTCGACTTGTCCTCCTCTTCAACAAAACCCGACGTTAATTGAATTTAATCTCGTTTTAAATTCCTCACGTCAACGCGAAATGGACTCTCATGGCGTTTTTATTTGATTTATTTCGAGTTGAAAGAGCACGGGATCCTTGGCCAGCGGTGTCAGCCATGTCCTCCACGCGGAGACACCGAGCTGCCATTGGTCGGTCACGCCGTCGAAGGTCCCACTTGTAGCGGGAAAGTCAAAGTCCACTTTTGTCGGTGTCGGACCGAACGAGAAACGGCCACTAAAACGTTTAAAAACACTCACGGGTAACGTTCTGTCGTTGTGGGTCACGGATGTTTCGATGGGTGTGATGCCAGTGCTGTGTTAAACCAGCTCACGTTCTCCAGAATTGTCCTTTTCGGGAGAAATCCATGAGCAGTTGAAAGTATTGTTTGAGTGTCAATTGTTGTTTAACTTACAACCCTACTGTCAATGCACTGTTATTCCCGTTTACTTCAATTTTTTTGCATTTAGGCATCATGACCCCCCATCCCTTCCTAAAAATGTTAAAACGTTGCCTATATTCAAAGTTTAAACCATAAACATCAAACCTTCTCGAACGTTCATTAAATCTAACCCAAACTCCTTTTTTCAGATTAATTTGATCTTTTTTTTTCTTATTAACCCTTACCCTAATTACTGTTGTTTCTAAAGTGTTAAAAATGGCTTGCTCTCTTTAATGATGTACTGTAATGTTAAAGGCTCAACAAATTGAAAAAAAATGAAGGTTTTGGAGATGCAAGTATTCTGCACAGCAACTAGGATTAAGAGCTATACTTTTAAGTACGAATGGCTTTTGGACTCACATCAAAGGAATGAAAGCAAAACAGCAGGGGTGTGCATCTCTCCAATAAATGATTTGATACGTATCTTGATACATGAGGTGGGATACAAGTCAAGGACGGTTTATTTTAAAGTAGAACGATTGATTGTTTACAATTTGATACAATATAGTACAATTCAGTTCAAGAGGGTGTGTTGCAATGTGTTTCATGTTGTTTTACAATATGAATTGTCAGTAGGTTTCTGTTAATGTCGTTTTTTTTCTTTAAAGATATAACTTTCCAATGAAAGATGGGTTGATGTGTATCTCAATATATTTTTAAGTTAAAGATTTGATTTGATTCGATGTACTGTACTACCGTGAGAAACCTTAGCAAGGGTTATATGTGGAGAAATAAAAGGCCCACGTCACACTAAAATTAGCGTAAACATGGCCGCCAGGAACAGTGTAAATGCAGCCAGAATTAATGCCTTTCATTCACACTGTAACTTAACATGCTTCACATAATGCTATAAAACTAGTCACAGAGTTAAAGAGATTTAAAAGCAAAGTAAATAAATAAAAAGTATCTGGGGGGGGTGGAGAGCATACAATTGCAAGAACAAGGTTTTCGAAAACCATGATTTTAAAAATACTTTGAAAGCTCTGAATCAGAATTATGGCAAACGAGCCACCTTTTTAACCTGGTTTGAATCTTTATTAATTCATAATCTTCACTGATAATAAAGGATACCAGCAAATCGGGACCCACATTATACGGCTTTTTAAGTTTGATTTTGGGGGTTGCCATCTTGTATTTTAAAGTATATATTGTTTTCATCTAGAAAGAAGTGAATCCAGTGCAAGCATTAGTGATGCCCGCGACACATCCTCAACCCGTATCCATGCAGGACCAGCATGTCGAAGAGGGACCCATGGCTAATGTCCCCATCTCAGGTCCCGTCACAACTGTCCTTTCCTCCACACCTCCTTCTCCCACCACGGCCATCTCCGTGGCGAGTACCAACAAAAGTGTGACATCCCTCCACTCTCCTGCCGAGGCCAGCCCGGCAAAGCCCACTGTGGCTTTGCCCACCGTCTCGGGGATGAGTCCGGCTGGCTCGCACATCGCCTCTGCATCGGACTCGCCGGCGTTTTCTGTGAGCATCACAAAATCGGCGGTGGTGGATTTTGGCCATCCAAACCCGGACGATGAGCAACCTAATATGCTGATGTGCAAAGGCGTGAGCGTGACGCTGGAGAACGACCGCGTGTGGAAGCAGTTCCACAGCTGCGGCACGGAGATGATCCTCACCAAGCAGGGCCGCCGCATGTTCCCTTACTGCCGCTACCGCCTGGCTGGCCTGGACCCTGAGCGACACTACAGCCTGATGCTCTCCATTGTACCTTCAGACAAATACAAGTACCGCTGGAACTCCCCCAAGTGGGAGGTGGTGGGCCCGGCAGAATACCAGGCCCAGGTTGCGGTGCGGGCCTTCCCCCACCACTACTCACCGTGCCGCGGCTCGGACCTCATGGGTAGCATGTTGTCCTTCTACAAACTCAAAGTCACCAACAACCCCAAAGACTTGGAGGGCCACATCATCCTCACCTCCATGCACCGCTACATTCCCCAGCTCCACGTCATTCCCCTGTCCAACGACATCACAACGCCACCGGTCATGGGACCCGAAAGCTTGACGTTCACCTTCCCGCAGACGGAGTTCATGGCAGTGACCACCTACCAGAATTTTCTCGTCACACAGCTGAAGATCAACCACAATCCTTTCGCCAAGGGCTTCAGGGAGGACCGGTTCGGACCCAACTTGAGCGATGTCCCGGTAGAGAAACTGCAGCTTAACATGGAACCACCCGAGGAGCAACCAGAAATCAAACCTGTTGACCAAAGGTAGGAGTTTTTGGTTACCTCATTATTTTGGCCGTATGGAGTTTTTTCTCAAATAGGAATAAATGGTTCACATGCATCCATTTCATCATATTTAACTGGATGTAACCATTTACATCCACCAATACAGGGCGTCATCAGTTCTTACCACTAACTGTTCTTCGTTAGATTAGGTGAGTGATAAACTACAGCATGTTCAGACTTGCACATAAATTTTGTTTACGTCGCGGACGTGGTACCGGTCTTGTGAACCGATTTCATCTCTGTGAACATTAACCTCCGCCAAGGCGCAAGATTAAGCTACTCCGTTGCAATAGATCATTCATAAACCTGTTGAGGTTCCCGGGCAAAAGAAGAATCACTTCAATTATATTGCAGATTTACAAG